GCGCCCAGCCTCAAGCCAACACAGCAAGTGTCGCGCGCGCCCACAGCAACGCACGCGCAGACCTTGACTCGCAAGACAAAGTTGCTGCCATCAGACTTAGTTCTACATTGTAATAAACTAAGTCCTTTTCATTGTAATTATAGGCTAGTTTACATCATTTTCAATGAGTGTGCTTTTACAGCTTTATTAGGACTAGTCATGTAATGTTGGTTTATTTTTTTTAAGCATTATTAGGGGGGACCAAACAATCAAACATTTTCAAGCAAACAATTTTCTGTACTGGTGTTTCTCCCCCTCGACATCGCATCTTTTGTAATCAGCATTTCAGTCATCAATAAAATCATCATTATCATTCAAAACCCAATTCTCTCTCAGCTTCCGCAATTGCTCGTGACATTGGTTTTCCGCACGGCATTGACAATCTATTCTAGCGTGCGGAGGGGACCTCATTGGCGGACAACAACCGCACTGACATCGGTTTCTTAGCCTTACGTTGCCCTTCCAAAGAACATCAGGAAGGTGTTGCGTAACAAAATGTACGTAAAACCCTTGTTGGAGAAGGTTACCCGCTCTGCTAGGTCAGGAGCGATGATGTCAAGTCATGGTAACCACAGTCTTTCTTCACAACAGGGATGCTAGAAAGATAGATGGAAGAAGGGTACACACCAACAACCCATGTGCGGGAGTTAGCAGAAGGGAACTTCTCTTCGAAGTCCTTAGTCGTAATAAGTTTTTGGAGATAATGGTGCTCACCGTAGGAGGAGAAACATCATCAGTGCTTTCTTTGTTGTTTGAAGAACTAGAGTTTCTGGAGGAGGAGGCCATGTTACCAAAAGAAAGTAAGGGTTTCTCTGAAGAAGGATGTTAACAATAAGAGTGAGTTGATTAAAGAAAGTCTAAGAGAGTTTGGGAAATTATGAAGTGTAAAAAAAGAAGACTGATGAGTATGTAAAGGACTATGCGGCTAAAATCGTGGTCGTGATTACCTCGAGAACCGACGAAAGTATTGTTGAATCGTGGGATGACGTGTGTACGGGGCATTAATGCGGAGAGATGTGCGTCTAATCAAGCGTTAGAAACTTTTCAGATGGAGTTAGTAAATTTTTCGCCGAGAAAGGTATCTTTACCAACTTCCCGATAGCGCAAGAATGTGCCACCGGAAAGTAGGAGGACTATCTGTATAGGGTAAAATCGGTTCATATTAAATGCTCGTATAATAGAGTGACACGTGGAACCAGAGACAGATGTAAAGTGAGATAGGTGGAAGTCAAGACCGGGGGCAGGAGTCTCGAATGGCACCAGAAAGCCCCCGAAGGAAATGTTACTCATGAAGACAAATGAATACCTGTCACCCGATGGCATTCAATGAAGAATATGCTGTAGTATTAAATACATAGTCTGTTATAGAGAATATGATATTCATAGCCGGCCGTTACACATTTTTCACTGGCCCCCCATAATTATCATTTAAGAGAGGCTTGATCCTAGGATCTTGTTCCCTAGGTGCCACTATAAATAAGGATTCCAACAACCATTGTTGGAAAAGGAATTTTCTGATAATCTTATACCATATACTATTCAAAGCTTAATAACATTTTATTTTCTTGCTTATTAATATCATTATTCCTGCCTTCGGAAGCTCTGCTCCCGAAATCAAGATCTTCTGCTATCTTATCTCTATTTCAATGCTAAGTCTTACATTCTTATTTAATTTATTTATCAATTTTAGGATCAAATCGATTCACTTGTCTATAATCATATATAAATTCTGCTGAATTATTTTACGGTTAAACAATACTTTGTACATTGAACTGTTCATTTAAAATATAAATTTTTATATACTTTTTGTCTAGCAAACACAATTAATTTAGGCGGGGGATCGATTTTATATATTGCCCTTGACATAAAAAGACAACGCTGGGTCGCTTTTAGAACACGTGATATATCGAGCCCAGTGGCCCCACACTAAAGAAATGCGAGGATGAATTTGTCAATTTACTCAGAATACCTCCATAGCAGCGTAAATGACTACCACAACTCCACAAATATATATTCAGTTATTCACGCTAGTAGAAAATAATAATATCTAATATATAGCTTGACATAAAATTTTAAATCAATAAAAATTTCGTTATTTCTATTGTTATACTCTGTGTTAATAATTGTGAGCTTAATACAAATACATATTTTCAAATTTGTTCAACTTTCTCTCTCTATGTATATTTTTTGTAAATCAAATTGAACAAGATGAGATTACGGTAAAGGCTTAATCACATTAATGTTTATACTCGAGCTATACATCATAAAATAATTTAATAAAGTAAAACTAAATTAATTATAATTAAATAAAAAATTCAATAATATAAACATATATTATGCTGCTATTTAATTAGGTATAAATAAGTTTTTACCATCAGGCAACACCCACTAATCTCATAAGCCTAATCCATTTGTACTTGGTAAAATCCTTTGGAAAAGAGAACGTGTAGCTTGCTAAAATCAGACAAATTTATATTGGACGATTTTTTTTTACTAGAAATGGAGCATATATCTTTATTCAGGTGTAGAAAATTTACATTCTTCCAGAAATGCCCTCGCTGTTGGTACCCGAGACCCACGTGTTAGACGTTACCCCACCAAATCCACGGCAAATTTCCGCTTTACTCCACCTCAGCCCCAAAATTGCCATTTCATATCACCGAGTCATCCATCTTCCTCTCTCCTCTCTTTCTAACATTCAAACCTAACTTTACCCAAACCAGAGGAAATGGTATCGGACTCGGAACTCGTCGGCCGGCTGCGTGAGTTCCTAAGCACCTCCGACCTCACCACCACCACCACCACTGCCGTCCGACGAAAGCTCGAAGAGGACTTCGGTATCGATTTATCCGATAAAAAGGCCTTCATTCGAGAACAAGTTGATCTTTATCTTGAAAGCCAGTTTCAACTTGAACAGCAGAAAAATGAAGGAGAAATGCACGACGAAGTCGATGACGGACCGCCGGCGGAAGTGAGTGACGAAGAAGAAGATGCGGCGGAGGAGGAAGAAGAAGAAGAGCAAGAGGAATCTGAAGCTGTTACTAAAGTAAAACGAAGAAGTTCTAAGAAAAAGTATGTGAAATTTAGATATATGTTCATTTGATGTTCATGTGATTTTTTATGCCTTGTTCAAATGTTAAATGATACATTCTGTTGCTTCTATTTTAAGACGGCATTGTTACAATCATGCATGCGATATTTCATTTTCCTTTTGCATTTCTTCTGTGAAAAAAAGATATACTACTAGTTAATAGCTCAGAATAGAGGTTAGACTAGTACACTGCATAGTTAAGGGATGTTCTTGCTAATGACACATATTTCTAAGTTCTTTTTTATAACGGTGGGGTGTGGGGGGGGGGGGG